TAGCACTAACCGCCCTTCTTCTGGTGCCCACAGACTGATGTACGCTCCAGTAGTATAATGCAAAGTAACGTTTTATTGAACATCTTTAGTGGGGCGAGAGGATATGGGGGGTTCTAGGTGTCCAGGGCTAACCAACAAGAGATCCAGACTCACCAGACCTTGTAGACATATCAGTGTAGATCCACTTGGGAGGCAGCGGACAGCAACTGATGTAGCAGACAGGAAGGATGGATACAGATCTTTAACACAAGAAAGACACCGACCATGCTCCTGAAGTCCTCTTCAGTTGGGGAACTACCGCCGGTGCTGGCGGTGCCGGGGCCTGAGGCTGCTCCCCCCCCCCCGTCTTGGGAGGGGGGCCCAAGATAAAATCTTGCACCAGGGCCCTTTGGTTATTAGTTCCGCCACTGGTCCTTTTAGTTCAAGGCGACTTCAAGAGCCTGCATTGGTCCCGGTTCTCTTCCTCTATCAGCATCACAGACCTCCTCCATGTTGGAAACCTTTCCCTCACACCAGCCTATGCCAACCCTCAGGCCTAGCCTGGTGGGCAGGCTGAACAGCACCTAGCCCTATTCCATGGCTGGTCCCGGCTAGTCTGAGCATATGGAAAATCCCTCCAGTATATGTTCCCTATCCCAGCATGCACCACTGGCTGAGAGAAACCCAGTGATTGGCTGCTGTACTGTACATACACTACAGTACCTCTCATCGGCTGTCCCACAATATGACAGAGTCACACTCCACCCAGGGGGGTACAGGCAATGCCAGACACCTGGAATTAACCAGATAACTGCCACTATAATTCCAGCCAGGCCAACTACAGCCCTGGCTATCACTAAATGTCTAGAAGCCACATCACAGAAGGTGATGGTGGCTACAATAGCTTTAAAGTAAATATATGGGGTGTGCCTGAGCTCAGAGATGACTCTTGAGGCACGTTTTCAGTGGCTTTACCTTACTTACCCAACCCAAATTATGATATTTATACTGTTTAGGTTTTAATATTTTAACAAATATAGTAATAGTGGATATCAGGACATCGTACTCGTTCAAGTACAATTATTGTAACCTTCTGCTATCTTTTATTAAAAATATTCCCTAGACCCCTGCCTAGAACACTTGGTCAGAATTTTATGGAATGCCTCCTTCATATCATTATTTCTCAAGCTACACTATATTGCCAAAAGTATTGGGACGCCGGCCTTTACACGCACAAGGTTTAGGAGTGTGTCTATGGGAATGTTGGACCATTTGTGAGGTCAGGTACTGATGTTGGGGGAGAAGGCCGGGCTCGCAGTCTCCGCTCTAATTCATCCCAAAGGTGTTCTATGGGGGTGAGGTCAGGACTCTGTGCAGGCCAGTCAAGTTCCTCCCCACCAAACTCCCCCAGATTTGAAGAAAAGTCTTTCCATTGCCCCATTTAAATGGTCACACCCGTCCAGAACATCACAGAGGCAACAAGCAGGTGAGAAGCACAGGTAGAAAAGGCTTTGGATCTTCCATCAGTAGACTGTATCTTTAATATCAATGAAACAATGAGAATGTCACCACAACTTAGAAGTATATTGTGATGTCCTTTATGGAGGCAGGGATGTCCCTTCAGGGGTGGTCACACGAGAAGCAATATGTAAAGAGAATCGGCAAAGAAAACACAGACTGTTAGCCTAAAGCTATGTTAAAAAACCGAGCTGTTATGGTCAAACAAGGAGTATAGATTTTGCCTTTGAACTAAATGTAATTCATTTTTATTAAATACATCACTTCATTTATTGGAGTTCCCAATGGACCAGAACCTTACACGGTCCATTTTAAAGGGTTGGTGTTCACTATTTTATTAAATGCTTCCTTCACCTCATTATTCCTCAAGCTGTATATCAGAGGATTTAGCACAGGATTGACAATGCCGTAAACCACAGAGATGTATTTCAGGTTTGAAGAAAAACTTTTGGTTCTCCCCATATACATGGTAATACAAGTCCCGTAGAACACCGAGACAACGGTCAGGTGAGAGGCGCAGGTAGAAAATGCCTTTTGCCTTCCACCAGCGGACCGGATCCTTAATATGGATGAAATGATGAGGACGTACGACACCACGATGAAGACAAGTGGTGCTACCAGGGTAACCAAACCCACCATGAGTATAGCTACTTGATAGAAGACGAGGTTCCCGCAGGCCAGCTCCAGAACCGCCAATACCTCACACACAAAATGGTCCAGTTTGTTTTTCGCACAGAACACCAGAGGCCTTGAGATGGGTGTTACAAGAGACATGAGCAAGCTGCCAGACCACATCATGAAGGTCATGTTTCTGCACATCTTCCAGTTCATTATTGTGTGATAGTACAAGGGTAAGCATATCGCCGCGTAGCGATCGTAAGCCATCACCGCCAGGAGCAAACACTGGGTGCCCCCGAGGAACGAGCCAATGTGCATTTGTACCATGCAACCTCGTACAGATATTGTCCTTCTACTAGAAAGAGAATCTAGAAGTTTGGGACTGACGACGACAGTAAAGATTAGAAAAATATTGGCAAAGATAGTAAAAACGTATATCGGTAATAACGCCACAAAAAGTAAAACACAAAGATGCATGTTCTGTGAAAACCCAACCAAGATAAACTCTTTGATGTGGGATTGGTTTCCTGGTTCCATATTTTAATTACATTTTGGAATATCCCGTGAAATCAAAAGGTGTCCAGATGTCCTCAAATCTTCTTCATAAAGAGACATTCGTTACATTTCCTTTCTTGTCTGTTTTTGGTCAACTGAAATAGGAATTAAAATTGGGTATTATTTTACAGAATATCTATGTAAAAAAAAATGACATTCGCACACTATAAATATACCGAATATGAAGGAGAATTTATGAAAACTTCAAATTTTGTGCTGCCTCAATAGTTGTATTTACAGCCACAGGCAATCTTCACATTAGTGTGATATTAGAATGGATATAGTTTATTTCTTTCCAGGCATTTATAGCATAGTCCAGAATCCACATTAAACCTCATATGAAAAGAAGCGGCTCTATTAGGAGTCCCCACTAGGTCTTCTAAGGTTAATTCATGCGCTGCCATCTAGTGGTTTTTTTTTGTATTGCACATGTTTTTCTGTGTTCCCTTCCCTCACATGTATGATGCATTTCCCCCTGTATGTATGCTCCGCCCTTCTTCTTCAGTGTAGCATTTCCTGTGTCATGGCTGTAACTAACAGGGCCACATGTAATCTGCATGTAACCGGGACACAGGTAATCTGCATGTAACAGTGACACATGTAATCTGCATTGCATGCTTCGAACAGTATCATCTTTTGACCGTTTAAATCCGCAATCCATTCATCTGTTGTCTGCTGTAACCTGATGTACAGAACGAAGCACCTTTGTGGATGGAAACGGTATTGGTGAGTTCAGCTATCTGATAAGAATTGTCCTCAGTGATTGAATCTGCTTATACAGGCCAGGCATAGAGGTCTCAGCAAGGGATAAGTCACTAGCACAACAATCGGAGTCAGAATAAATTTACTACAATTTAGTCCTAAAATGCTGCTCAGATCTACCATCTCCCACCTTCACTCACCACGGCAGTAATGAAGGTGGACCTGAAGTCAAAAAGCGAGCTCTGTTGCGCAACATAAAAATGTTCAACTACCACCATTTTATTCTATAGGGTCTTGGCATTCAGAAAATATATAATGTTGGGGGGTTTTACGTCATTTTCAGGCCTAAAATGTGGAATATAACATGGGTGCAAAAATTGAAAAAAGGGCCTCAGTCATGAAGGGGTTAAAGGAACATCTGGAAATGTAAATTGTGGTTTTAGTCTTGATCTTTTCCTAAACATAGCATTGTACTTCCTGTGCCTAGGCACTCCTGTGCTGAGGACTCGTACCTGTACATATGCAGTGTCATCTCCAAGACGCTGCCACCTCTGATGGTCAGTGTGAGATGAGGTGATATCACTACTGTGTTGGCACTGTTCTTGTAAGACCATTCCTGGCCATGTGGATGCTTCTGCGCATGCGCATAGGCCTATCTGCCGCATTTGCAGGAAACGGGCACTACTGCGCATGCATGCCCAACGGAACGTGCGCGTGAAGACGCACTAACGTGGCGCACAGGAAGTGACACAACCTCTCTGATTGATGACCCTATTTAAACCTGCCAGTTCCAGGGATCATTGCTGAGTGGTCTTTCAGCTTCTGTGTATGTTCCTGTGCCTCTGCCAGTTCCTGTGTTTGTTACGGACCCGGATCTCCTTGACTACGCCTGACTGCTGCCTGCCTCTGACCTCTGCTTGTTCCTGGATTACTCTTCTGCCTGCCTCTCCTGTACCCTGCTGCTCGATTGGTATTGACCCTGGCCTGCCTAACTCCGCTCTGCTCCAGCCGCGTTCTTGGTGGTTCCCAGCCGCACCTGCTTCCTGCTTCACTGGAGACCGACTTCGGGACTTGCCCAGACCCAGTGCCCTGCACCCTCTGGCATCGGTGCTGCTCTCTGTCCTCTCACTCCCTGTCTCCACTCTCAGGGGTGTGGGACACGAGTTGCAAAGGAGGCCTCCTCCACTACTCGGTTCTCTACCAGGTACGTGATAGTTCTCCATTTTGGAGATAAAGCTGTACCTGAGGACATGCAGGGCAAGGATCTCCCTGCTTCTGATTAATTCATTCTGTGGATCTGCGATTCCTCCACCCGCCACCATCTGAACTCTGTAGTGTTTGGAGAGGATGGCGGAAAAACCAAAATGTCTACTGAGTAGTAGTTCTGTGATGGGGAGTTTAAAGCCAGATTTGTTCAAGCCAACAGGAAATCAACCTGCTCAACCAATTGTTCTTCACAAGTTTCAGATTGCCAGTTAAGAGTCTCTCTCAGGTTAGTATTGGTGGGGGGGGGGGGGGGGGGACGACATTTTAACACTTACTTCTTACTTGGTTTTCTGTCTGGCTCAACAGCAATGTAGCTCTGTTCGATGGTGCCATGCTAGTTCCTTGGCCTTCAGAGTCCCTAAGGCTAAGGCAGACCCCCCATCACTCTATCCAATTGCACTCCTCTATCAGTCAAAGAGGCATCCTCCTGGACAGCAGGACAGCAATACATTAGGGTCCATGCTGCTTTGATGTAAAGATGAGTGGTACCTACAGCTGTAAAGTCTCTGCAGATGAGTGGTACTAACATACCTTTTCCCTTATGACTGGAAGCTTGGCCACACGCCCTACTGTCCTTCTGTTCAATAGAGTTCCTCCGTCAGTCACTTAGGAATCCTGTTGGAAAGTGAGACAACAAGGGGCATTCCAAAGGTTTATTGCATACATCCCGCTGTAGAGATCCCACATGCTCTATGGAAAATGAGTGTGCTTCACCCCTCCCCCTTTAACTCCACTACCAGGTTTCAGCATATACTGTATATCCAGCAGCAAGAGGAGGACAAATATTACAAATGGAAGCCAATCCTGCTCGTGTGGCACTGCTTCCCCCTTCACCAGCCACACATGGCTCCAGTCCATGGGTAGCATTGTTGCAAATATGTCCATGCCACCCACACAGTCATCTACAATCAACTAGCAGTGTGTCCTGACCTTGTACTGATACTGGCCACGTTTCTGGGAATTGTGTGGCAATTTCAACCACTTTCAATCAGCTTTGGACTGCAAAAAGTACCAAATGGATGTATGAAACCCACCATCAAAAATTGTAATCAAGTTATGGAGGCGCTAGGTCTCTAGGTGACCCGGTACGGGGTTGTTTTGTGATATTCCCATGGGTCAGAATTCTGCTCATAGCCAACATTTCTTTTCTAGCTACCTCTGGGCATCAGACACCTATAGGATGTTTTGATGTACCTAAGAGCCTATGTTTGTTAGGGTAACACTACCGGACCACAGGTACTGTGTGCATGTTTTACGGTCTCCCAATGCCTTATTTCTCTTGTTTTATATTCTGTAACGGATTGTTTGAATCTTGTGATATATGCTAATAACAAAAACTGATTCAACCTTTAAAAAGATCTAGAGTGCAGGTGGAAGGTCTACCTCAATCCACGTGGTTGCTTCTGCAATAGAAAATCCATTGAAAGTAGTCAGAATTGCCTGGGAATTGCTTTGTGTGGCCGGCATAATGATGTGTAAAGGAAGAACTGTGATTGCTGAATGGAATGCACAGCACACATGTATGTTGTATAGTTACGAAGGCTTCTCACATATTTTATTTCTTTATTTTATCAACCATCGGGCGTATGTTATATTCGGTATGTGTGGGGGGAAAGGCCGGAGTATTGATATGTAGCACTGATTGTTATTACCTGGACACTTATTACATGGCTGTGTGATGGGACTGTGGAGAGCTGCCTTTGTGAAAAGCCTCGTCTCTGCCTCACATGAGACCCCGGGTATTATTAGAAGGATATGATTGTTTTCTAAAAGCACGTGGCAAGATAGAGAGAAGAGACGGCTCAGGACTAAGCTATGCCAACAATTTTGATATCTTGCTACTTGGAGATTTGACCACTTTTTTGGCAGTCACTCCATAGGGCTGAAGCTACACAGGAGATAGCTCAGTCATGCTACTAAAATTGCTAACAACCACTAGAAGTATCTACTGACCACTAAGCACGTAGAACACACAGCTCCTTGTGGAGTGAGCAAGACAAGTGCCATGCAGGAGCATCTAGTAGTGACCACATGATGGGGCATTGATCACTTCTGTATCCTTCTACATGTTACCTGTGTAGTGTTGGTCCATGGGGAGCCATTTGTAGCACATGTAATGTATGGAAAGGTGTGTGACGTTTAGATACATTCAAATGTCACACTATTGCTTGTTTTGTTTTCTTTCATTAATTTACATTTAGTAATAAGTGGGTGTCATCAAAGATATGGAATTCCTAAACAGTTTCCCTTCCTGTCCTTGACTACCAACATAATATATTTAAGGTGTTTCAGGGAAGCAAATTATATAGATAAAGTCCAATTTATTGCATATTACCAGTGAGAGGAATAGTAACCCATCATGGCGGTCATAGAGAGTAATAGTTCCTTATTATTGCTGTCAGTGGGAGTAAAAGTGCCCCATCATTGGTGTCAGTGGGGGGAATAGTGCCCCATGGCTGGTGTCAGTGGGGGGAATAGTGCCCCATGGCTGGTGTCAGTGGGGGGAATAGTGCCCCATGGCTGGTGTCAGTGGGGGGAATAGTGCCCCATGGCTGGTGTCAGTGGGGGGAATAGTGCCCCAT